ATATAAACGCATTCTTTTTGTTTAATAAATATGTATTTTTATTTCATATCTATTTATGGTCAAAGGAAAAATGTGGACAAATAGCGTACTATATCGGTATATTTTAGAAACATACTGTACATGAATTTTTAGTCATTGCTTGTTCGTTCTTTTTTATCATATGGAACAAAATATCCAATAAAATGATTAGTTTTTTAGATCTTATGACGTTATGTTCAATTTGGTTGCATATAAATGATAGATTTATTATTTCATTTATATGATAAAATTTAAAATAAATATCAAGTAATTGATATATATTGGAATTGATTGTTTCTGTTGTTTGCTTATTGTCTATGAAAAATCAGGACAAACTTCCATCGGTAAATTGACGACAACAAGTGCAGTATAGTGAATTTTTAATTTAAAAAATAGATGTCAGACTCGACTTAATTTGAGATTTAGCGACAAGTCATGGCTAGTCCACGAACTCGAAGAATTTTAAATGAACTTAAACCCAAAGATGAGAACAATGTAATGCATTCATTTCGTTTTTTTAATATTATTCCATATATGAAGTATATCTTATTATTTTACAGAGGTGTTTTGAATGTGGAACTCACAATCCACAATGGGTTGCTGTTACATATGGTATATGGATTTGTCTTGAATGTTCAGGCAAACACAGAGGACTTGGCGTCCATTTATCATTTGTTCGATCCATTTCTATGGATAAATGGAAAGATTTGGAATTAGAAAAAATGAAAGTTGGTGGAAATAAAAATGCTCGTGAATTTTTTGAGTCTCAGCCTGATTGGGATAATAGCATGTCAATAACACAAAAGTATAATACCAAAGCAGCAGCATTATACAGAGATAAAGTAATTACATTTTGTTACTTCCAATCATAATTTTATTTATTATTTTACATTACCTATTGTCGACTTACAACTTATTTTAGTAAATATAACCACATATGAAACATCAACTGATTTATATTAATATTTTCTGCAAAATGAGAAATTTTATTTTATATAAATAATTAGATTGCAACATTAGCTCGTGGAGAAAGTTGGAGTCCTACTACATCTACAGCTAAGGATTTTCAACCTTCAAGACACTTAGAAAATCAACAAGATTATTCATCATATCAAAGTGATACATCAAACTTTTATCAGAATTTTAATTCTAATAGTTGCAAGTCTCAAACAGAAGCTTTCTTTGTAAGGAAACAAAGTGAAAATGCTATTCGTCCAGAGTAATTATTTTCTATATAAATGTTAAATTTCAATTTAATATAATTGATAAATAAAAATACTTAAACTGTAAGTTATAAATCTGACTTTTTATAGTAATATTCCACCTAATCAAGGTGGTAAATATGGAGGATTTGGTTACCAAATGGATGCACCACCCAGAAGTTCTTCACAAGAATTTTTTGATAATGCAGTTTCTTCTTTAGCAAGTGTAAGATAGCAAATTATTCTTAAACAAAAACAATTAATGCATAAATAAAACTTATAACTGATATTTAATTTCCTAGGGATGGTCAATATTTTCTTCATCAGCATCAAAGATAGCAAGCAAAGCTACAGAAAATGCTCTTAGAATTGGAGAATTAGCCACACAAAAGGTACACAAAATATATTTTCACTATGTTCTTTTTATTTTGAAACAAGTTGTTAGTTGTTAAATTATCATTTAGTGGTATAACAAACATTTATGTTCAGCAAATAATTTATAATTTTGTACTTACATTTAGCAAAATATTTTTCAGTTGAATTTTTCTTTTTTGCTTTATTTTGTTTTCATTAGGTTCGTGATGGTACTCTCTTGGAAGAAGTCGGAGTTCAAGTTAATAATTTAGCTGCAAAGGTAGAGAGTTGTACATTAAAAATGTTTTTAGCATTAGTAACACACAGTAACTAGATTATTTGATGCTTCTTGCCTTTATTTGAAGTAAATGAGACCTTATTTCTTCTATGAGCAACTAATGAATTTTTATTTTCATGTTAAAATAGGTTGGAGATCTAGGAAGAAGAGGATGGGGTGATATTGGGGGAACCAATTCAGTAGAACAAAATCAGTATAATTCAAAAGAACATTATCAAAGTTCTTCTACCACTTACCAAAATAGTGACACAGTCCAGTATCAGTCTACTGAAAAAACATCTTTAATGAAAACATCACAATCCAAGTAAGTTGACAATAGCTTTATAATATTTTGAAAATTAAATAATTATATCTAATGTAATTTTATTAATTAATTGTTCTTTGAAAATGTTTGGTTTATAAGCTTGTACTATTGAAATTTGTTACATGCTAACAAAACGTTATACACATGTTCTGTAAAAAAAGTTTAAAATTTATTTCAATAAATTTTTTGTTTCAGAATTAATATGTCAACTGCAAATTCTTCCAATTGTGAATGGGACTGGGGTAATGATACAAAACAAAATATTGAAACAACGGATTCGAAATCAGTTACAAGAAAATCAAGTGATAAAATAAAAGAAGAAGCATTAATTAACTTTGGTACTGATAATCATGCATCTAATTGGAATTCGAAACTGGAAGATGATGCATGGGAAATATTAAAAAATTAATTATTATTTATTACTTAGGAAATTTTTATCAAAGTTGAAGATCCTTAAATGTGTTCTCCATCTTGCAGATGTTGGACTCATATAAAGTAATATAACATCAATTATTAAAATGAAGTTATTGTTATTCTATGTTTTATCTTTTTAATGTGAAGATATATGTAGATATACATTATGAAAAACTGACCATTTGTGATTAAGATACACGCGCGTACGTGAAAGCGTAAATAAATATGACATGTTCTGCCCAATTTACAATATACCGATATTGCCAATGGAGATCATCAGTTAGGCCACTTGTGTAACCAAAAACCTGAACAATTTGTTCTGCAATTACTGCTAAACATGGATTCTCCATATACATACAGTGGATATTGGTTGTTACTTTTCCAAACCACCCTATCGAACCTTCAGCACTGTTGACATATGTGTGTCGCTTCATATCAAATTTAAGTTGGTGTCCATTTCCGCAGTCATAATTGCCTAAACCAGATAAATAAGTTGATATAAGCTCCGGTGGCTTAAAGTTTGCTGCATAATCATATTTAAAAATTCTTTCTTCTCAATTTGTATGCGGAGAGAATTTACTTCAAGGTATCGCATCAATCGAACGTACATATGTCAAAGTTTCGATATAGTAGGTGAAAGCGGGTAGAGAAATGCGACGAACAAATCTTAACCCCTTGAACTGCAATTTATTTTCAGGCAGACAATTTAATTTTCTTAGTTTTAAGAGGAGGGATTGATACAGAAACTTACTGTTTTGTTGCTCAAATAATTTGTTATTAGTAAAAATAATATTTGTTTCATACATGTACATGAAATTCTTCAATAATGTTTAACAACAATATTACAGTTCTAGTATTTGAACGAAAAAAGTATGTGTTTCAACATAATGCTAATGTATTTGCAACAATTTCAAACAATGTAAATATATATATTTATCCTCATTTATATTCGGGTTTATTTTAAAGTACTAATGAACTTCAAGTGTAAGATTCAACACCTCCGCAAAAATATATGATTTCTATAGACGGATATCACTAGTAAAATAACCGCTATTGCACTGCATTAGTATGTCGTGTCGTGCATTTACTTTACGCGATACTGGCTGCATAGATTTATACAAATTACATTCAAACTGTTACTAGAAGCATGCAAACAAATGTATCAAAGCAAAAGACTCGCTATGACTTACATATACTTCTCATATAAAAAGCTTCAACTCTCAGCAATTTCTGGCGAGTGCAGCTCGTCATTGTCAGTTTGCTCAAGAAAGTTCATGACGAGCTAGACTCGTCATTTCAGTTCAAGGGGTTAACATTGTTCTGCTATAATAAATTCTTTTTCGCTCGAAGATATCCATAATTTTTGCGTTACCTCTCTACTCTCTTAGCCAAAAGTACGTACTAATGTAATGCGTCACAGTGTATTGGGTCATTCTTTGGTGTAGCTGACGATAGATGTTGTCTTAAGAGGCCTGTTGTAGATGGTATGTCTTGCCGAGGTGGTCCCAGAACTTCACGCGGCTTTGCCTGCTTCCCCTTTTGCTCTCTTCCTCTATGGCTCATTGACTGAGCGTCTCTTTTAGGGAGATTATCTCAATCTGAATGTATCGGAAAGTTTCTAGGCTGCAAGACGACCTTTACTGCTTTCTCTTGTTGGAGGAAATTTCTTATTATTATAATACGGCATCTGGCTTCCCGCTTGCTATATCTCTATGTGATAGCTATATTGCATACTGGGCAAAACATGTAAATTAATGTACTCTAAATTTTGTTTTACAATTAATGTATGTTAAAGTGAAGGGTACTAGTTATTTATGTACTGCTTGTGTTATTTTAATTATTTTACATATATTCTGCATTTATATTATTGTTCCATACATAATATAATGTAATATTTAATGTACTATATCGGTTATGCTTATGCAGACTCAGTCCAGAGGCACGTGCATTACACACAATACATCTTTTATAAAGAGAATACAAAACAATTATTTTATTTTATTACATATTATAATATGTATAATATATGTATAAGTTT